TTTCTTTCTTTCTTTCTTTCTTTCTTTCTTTCTTTCTTTCTTTCTTTCTCCCTCTCTCTCTCTCCCTCTCTCTCTCTCTCTCTCTTTCTCTCTCTCTTTCTTTTTCTCTTTTCTTTTTCTGTACCTAAATATTAATTTTTAGAGCATTGGAGACCTAGATACTTTCTAGCATAAGAATCAGCATTTATGTGTAGAAAATATCTTGACATCTAATTATGCACTTGAGGTACACATTATTTGATTGTTTTATGTGGTGAGCTGTTTTTTATCTTCTATTAAACAAAAATTTAAGAATACTGACTTTACTCTGTTATCATATATGTAAGCATTGGCTTAGTAAAATAAAAAGCTTATTTAATAACATGTTTATATTTAAGAGATCATTATTATTGTAGGAGAGCTGCTTCATTCACAGAAGAAAAGAGCTTTTCACCTAGGTGACTAGTTATACCTAATGACAAGATAAATAAAATTTACACCGGATACCAGTCAGCCTGAAACTTTTATTCAAGTATTGCTTTCCCTTTCCCCATCTCCCCTCACCTTCATCAATGTCAATTCTCAAAGTAAATAGTCTGGCAAGTTATGTCATTTAATTACATAATTTTGGTTATAGAAAACAGTTCATATAAAAATAACTTTTATGTACATTTCTAGAACTTCAGCTCTGTATTGTTATTCCTTTACCTGAGACCATAAGAAAAAACTTAAAATACTCTGTGTTCCACTACATGCCTCCTAGTCCCTGAAGAGGATTTTAAATGAAGTGTTTTGCATTGCAGAAAGTTATTTTCAGTCAGGAGTCATTTAAGTTATTGGTTCATATTCAGCTATCTTACATGGTAATGATTTTTTGTTTTGTTTCAATATATATATACATTAAAATAAATGCCTTTTGTAGTCAAGGTCATCTTATTAAACTTCTCATTGGGGTGCATTACCTTAAAAAAAAAAATGACAGAGAATGCTGAGAATTTGGAATTTGAGAATATTTTGAAAGCTACTATTACTGATAGTATATTTAACAATGAATATGCATATGCAACTTACACAATTAAGATTGTCAGTAGATACTGTACATCGTTTAGCAATTCTGGATGTCAGTCTCGTGTCTCTGCAAATCCATCTTCCAGTTACTCTGTAAAAATATTATTGAAGTCTGATGTCTTTACATATGTGTTTTCTTGTTCTGATAATCACATATCAATGATGACAAAACAGTAAATATAGGTAGGACACCTATATGAATGCATTACGTATCGAATCAGGTGACATAAATAAATTGCTTTAGAGTTACTGAATTACGCAAGTTATGAAGTAATGGAGAATCTGAATCTATGCCTGTTTTCTTGCTTTATTTATTTTTCAAATTTATAAAATTTTACTTTTGTGCATTTAAAACCAATGGTTATGCTTACAGAAATTGTTATTGACAATCTCTGTTGTCCTAATGCAAGTTTCCAGAATACCATTTTTACATGCAGCGTGACACAGGACTGCATTCAAACAATTAATAAAGGACTGTATTGGATTGATGTTAGAAGACAAAGTTCCTCATAATGTCTTGTCAGCTATCTATCAGGGGAAATCCTCAAGTTCTTATTCTTAAAACAGTAGACAATCACTCTCTGAAATAAAATTCTGGCTACTTCTTATTAAAAACTGGGTCAAATAACTAAGTAGGCCATACTCGTGTGAAGTTTTTCTTTCTTTTTTCTTTTTTTTTTTTCTTCTCAGGATGAATATTCAGTGATAGAACTTATGTATTTGTGAAAAGTATCTGAGGCCAACACTTTTTTTTTTTTTTTTTTTTTTTTTTTTTTTTTTTTTTCCAAAATATATTTATTTTTATTGATTGTGTTTGGACAAAACCTCTCTCTTACTGACACATCTTTTTTTCAATCCAGTGAAAGTTCAAAATGCGGCCTGCCTTAGTGTCAGTTAGAATCAGTTAGAATATTGCAAAGAGTAAATCAGGTAAGTGCATCGTAGTTAAAATACATTCAGTTTTGCTACTAGAATATCAAAGGATAAATATAAAGATATACCAACTTTTTTATTTTAACACTGCTAAAAAGCAAATATCCTAGATGGTCAACATGTATACACAGAGAACTTTTTTTTTTCCTGCAGGAATTAAATGCCATTTAACAGCTTTTGATTAGAAGTTTATGATTATGGTATCAGAAATATGTTAGAAAATAGCCGAGTTTTAATACTACTTAGTTGAAAATCATGCATTTCAATAAAGGGTTTCATCATGAAACATAAACTGTACAGATGGTGGGAACCGAGAGCTGGTTCTTCCGTTATCAGGTTTTCTTGTCTTTCTTTCCTTTCTTTCTTTCTTTCCTTTCTTTCTTTCCTTTCTTTCTTTCTTTCTTTCTTTCTTTCTTTCTTTCTTTCTTTCTTTCTTTCTTTCTTTCTTCCTTTCTTTCTTTCTTTCTTTCTTTCTTTCTTTCTCTCTTTCTTTCTCTCTTTCTTTCTTTCTCTCTTTCTTTCTCTCTTTCTTTCTCTCTTTCTTTCTTTCTCTCTTTCTTTCTTTCTCTCTTTCTCTCTTTCTCTCTTTCTCTCTTTCTCTCTTTCTCTCTCTCTCTCTCTCTCTCTCTCTCTCTTTCTCTCTCTCTTTCTCTCTTTCTCTCTTTCTCTCTTTCTCTCTTTCTCTC